CGCGTGCCAGGGGCGCCGCACCGCCCGCTGCGCCAGCGCCAGGGCCCCGCGTCGAGGCCTCTGGGGGAGACAAGGGTGCCTGGAAGGGGCGGCCCGCAGACCACTCCGAAGATTTTATTCTCCTAACTTAAAAAATGTGGATCTGACACTTCCCCAAAGGGAGACAAATGTTGAACCAGCACATAAAGAGACAGTCGACCTCATCAGTCATCGGGGAAATGCAAATCAAGACGGCAGTGAGGTGACACTTCACCACCTATTAAAATGGCTGTGATTGTTTTTCAAAAAGGAAGAAACAAAATAAGTATTGGCAAGGATGTGGAGAAATGGGAACTCTCATGCCCAGCTGGTGGGAATGTAAAATGTGGCAGATGCCATGGAAACCAGTTTGATGGATCCTCAAAAAGCTCAAGGTAAGGGAGGAGGGGTGTCGCTCAGCAGTAGAGCACATGCTTCGTAAACACAGGGTCCCAGGTTCAATTCCCACTAGCTCCAATTGAAAGAAAAAAATAATAAAGTTACAAAAAAGAAAAAAGCTCAGCATAGAATCACTGTAAGATCTAGCAATCCCACTTCTGGGAACAGACACAAAAGAGGTGAAATCACAGACTGGAAGAGATCTTTGTACGTCAGTGTTCACAGCAGCACAATTTACAACAGCTAAAAGGTGGAAACAACCCAAGTGCCCACTGGTGGGTGATGGATGAACACAATGTGGTCCATCCACACACTGGAGTGTAAATCAGCCTTAGAAGGGAAGGAGATTCTGACACCTGCTACAACATGGATGGACCTTGGGGACATGATGCTCAGTGAAACAAGCCAGACACAGAAGAACAAACACTGTCTGATCCCACTCACAGGAGGACCCAGAGGAGTCACATCTATAGAGACAGGAAGTAGACGGTGGGGCCAGGGCTGGGAGGGGGGGACGGGGAGGGTGTCAGTGTTTAATACACGGTCTCAGTTTACGGTGATCAAACAGTTTTGGAAGCACTGGTGATAGCTGCACAACACTGTGAGTGTAATTAATACCACTGAATTGAATGCTCAGAAATTATTAAAAAGGCTAATTTTATGCTATATATATTTTACCACAGTTAAAAATTTTTTTTTAAATTCATGGCTCTTCAATTTGGCGGAGAGAGTACAAATGCCCTGATTCTGTAGCCAGGAGGACTCGGGGCGTTACCTCCGCCTGCGCTAAGATGCATGTCCACGGTGGCTCTGGCTTCCACAGCCTGAAGCAATCAGGCCATTCACTGTGCTGGAGAAACCAACAGACCGTGGGCCCCACCGGAGCAGCAACCATGGCCCCCTTACCCAACAGTGAAGCCCCACTTCCCAGCAGAGACCTGGACACGGAGCAGATGCTAAGTACACGTGACCTGATGGGCGCGCGAAGGAACGGGCGGGTCTCACCCACGGAGGCCAGGTTCCTGCAGGTCTCCCGCATTACGTCCCTGTAGAGCCTCCTCTGAGCTGGGTCTAGCAGCTCCCACTCCTCCCAGGAGAAGTGCACGGCCACGTCCTCCAAGGTCACGACCTCCTACAACACCATGTCAGTTCTGCTCAAGAAGGATGCTCTCCAACCCGCATCCAGAGGAGGAAGTTCGGATGGAGAAGTCGGATCCTACTCGTGGTACTCGTAGGTACCACTCTGTGGCTTCCAACCCGGGGGGGCTGCGGTAGGCGCAGCAGAGACAACCAGCGCCCACCCTTCCTGTTTCTTATCGAACTGCTGATTCTAACCTCTGGGGCCGTGAGAATGACCCACCCGCTTGAGACTCTGCCCCAGCTTATTTGTGGCTCTGTGTCTCCATGTCTGACCAGGGAGGCCCTCCAGAACCTGAGGTCCTGGAGACCGGTTCTCTGGGGCCCTGAATTGGCGTTCCACGTGACAAGGCACAGAGGAGGAAGCCATGGGATTTGAAGCCCCCCAGCCCCCGCCCCGCCCCAGCCCAGAAATGGGGGAGGGCAGAGTTTGGGAAAGGTAGGATGAAGGGGTGGGGGTGTTTGGTGTCTGGCCAGATGGGCTGCTGGCTGTCCCCAGAAGGAAAATTCACCCGTGGAATTTGACAGTAAGAGCTCCAACCCCAGGAAGGCGGGGTGCTGGGCCCCCTGGAAGGTTTGGGTCACTCTGGTTAAAGTGAGGGGGATTGAGAAAATAATAATAAAATAAAAAGCTAGTGCTGGTGGTGTACGTGGTCTCTTCTCTCCTCCAGGAGGAGGAAGGGCTCAGGCATCCCCAAGGGGCAGCATGGACGTGGCCCAAACGTACTCCACGTCCCTGCTGCCTGTTCCTCCCAGCAGGAGGACAAATGTTTAATTAGCACCCAGGGCTGCCGCAAAACTTTAAGCAGAGCAGGAGAAAACCTGCCTTTAGTCCCCGCCACTGCAGCTGCTACAAACTCCCGCACTGGCCCCTTGGCTCCAGCTGGCTCCCCGACTCCAGCTTTAATGTTAACCCTGTCGTTGCCAACTCACTGCAAGGGTTTGAGCAAATTTGCAAGGAAATAAGAAGGAAAAACATGGTAATGGCTTGGTGTTTTATTACAAAGAATGGATAATAAAAAATGAGTATGAAATATTGGTTTATATTTATTAAATAATATATTTGTACTATTATATAATAATTATAATAGCATCGTTGCAGTATTATAATAAATTATGATTATTATTTATAATAAACGGTATAAACACATTATTAGTTTCATAACAGAGAGGTTGTTCAAGTCGGGGAAAGTGGGGGGCAAAAGTATTAGTGGCAGGCCACTGCTTTGCTTATCGCGAAGCTCCCGGCTGGAACCTGCCCGTGTCCGGAGCCACAGCTGGGCTGAGCTGAGACCAGGTACAGGCGCCACGACCAGGACTTGGACTCAGGGACAGAGCAGACCCAGGACGCCTGTTCAAGGGCTCAGACCGTGAGACTGTCACAGGCGCTGCCTGGGCCATCTGGGTGGCAAGCAGATGTCCACGAGAGAGGGCTTGTTCTCCAAGGGGACCTGACGCTGAGCCGGGGCTCAGCCCTGTTTTTCTGATGTGGAGAGTCACTGCGCATGGTCACCACCCCAAGCTGACAGTTGGGCGACTGGGGCTCTGTCCACCCTCTCCTGACAGATCTGCTGCCCCAGCTGAAGTGCAGGTGTCCCCAGCCTTCAAAAGGAAGGAGACACTGACACTGCAACGTGCATGGACCTCGACGACGTGATGCTCAGGGAGAGAACCCGGCACAGAAGGATACATGCTGTGTGATCCCACTCACAGGAGGTCCCCGGAGGAGTCACATCCACAGAGACAGGAAGTAGGACGGTGGGGCCAGGGCTGGGGGAGGGGCTGGGGAGTGAGGGTTTCGTGGGGACAGAGCTTCGGTTTGGGAAGACGAGAAAGTCCTGGAGATGATGGTGGAGATGGCTGCACAACAATGTGAATGTGCTTAATGCTACTGTGCCGTGCACTTTAAAATGGTTAAGATGGTGCATTTTATGTTATGTGTATTTCATTACAATTTTAAATATACACATACGTTAAAGGGGACAGTGCCTTGGGGCAGCCCCATCATGGGGGAAGTTCTGAGGCATTCAGGCAGCGCCCTCAGAAGGAAGCACAGCCCTCAGGCAGGGATACGGCGCACATCTTTGGAAAAGCCCAAGGGCTTGAGCCCAGATACTCTTGGGGACTCCTCCCACCCTTCCCACACAGCAAAAGGGGCTCGGGCTCGGGCAGGCGAGCTCCCTCCTGACCCAAAGGATGTCTTCCAGGGGAGGAGGAAGCTCGCACTTACCTGGGGCCAGGGGAGCAGGTGCCCTGCAGCCATCCTCTCCTCCTGGGAACGAAGCAGGCTCCTGGCAGGTGGGGCTGCGGAGGGGTGGGGACACAAAGGCAGAGTGAGGACCAGATCCAGCCTGTCCCCAAATCCCAGAATCCCCTCCCCACTTGACGTGACCTCCCCCGCCCAGAGGATGGTCCTCGGAAGCCAGAAGAGGCCGGGGTCTTAATGGTTCCATTTGTAGATGAAGATACTGAGGGTCTTGGAAGCACACAAGTTCTATGGTGAAGCACTCTGTATCAGCGTCCTGGGGCGGCTGTAACAAATGACCACATACTAGGGGCTTAGAACAACAGAAATTAATTTTCTCCCAGTTCTAGAGGCTGGAAGTCCGAGATCAAGGGGTGACAGGGCCAAGTCCCCCTGGAGTCCTGCTTCTTCCAGCTTGTGGGGGCTCCAGGCACCCTCAGCTTGTGGCCCCATCACTCTGCCTCCCCTTCAAGTGGCCATCTTTTCTGTGTGTCTCTTTCCTCTTCTAATCAGGACATCAGTCACTGGATTAGGGACCCCCCTGACCCCGGCTCCAGTATGACCTCATCTTAACCACTCAGATCTACAAAGACTCTTTCTGAATAGGGTCACATTCTGAGTTTCCAGGTAGCAACATGAATTTTGGGGGGGACACAATTCAACCCCAGTACAACGTCCCAGACCCACATCCGGGAAGGCTCTGTTCAGACCCCTGGAAGCGCCCCCACCCCTGCATCAGTGAGCTTCCTCTCTCCCCACGGCCGGCTCCTTCTCCCCCGGACTCTTCTGCCCAACTGCTGGGTGCTGTAGTGGGGAGGATCCAGATGGGCCTCTCCCACCTTAGGAGCAGCAGCAGCACGTGGCCCTGAAGGCCCGTGGGGAAACCTGAGCCCCCCCATACCTAGGGGCTCCCCTTCCTTCCAGGGAGAGAGTTCCAGGGGGATCTGGGCTGTGTTGATTCTGGAACCCTGCACGGTGACAGGACTTTGTCCTTGAGCAAGCGTTAGCCAAGCCCCTTTGAGCTCTCGTCCCAAATATGCCTTGACTTTTGGGCTCTCAAGTTCATCTTTGCATTGTGTTTTGGAAAAACACTGCTAAGTCACTTCAGGGAGAGCCCTCGCCAGTTTCCATTGTTATAGGAGCTGCCACCGTGGGGGGTGGGAGGCGGGCACGCGGGACTTTGCCCTGTCTTTGCAACTTCTCCTGAGTCTATAATTCATTAAAAATGTAAAGTTTTACATGGATGGACCTAGAGATCATCATTCTAAGTGAAGTAAGCCAGAAACAGAAAGAAAAATACCAGATGATATCATTTGTAGGTGTAATCTAAAAAAAGGACACAAATGAACTCATTTACAAAACAGAAACAGACTCCCAGACAGAGCAAACTTATGGTTACCAGGGGGTAAACGGGTAGGAAGGGATGAATTGGGAGTTCGAGGTTTGCAGATACTGACTACTGTTCATAAAACAGATAAACAACAAGTTTCTTCTGTACAGCACAGGGATCTATAGTCAGTATCTTGTGGTCACCTATAATGGAAAGGAATACATGTATGTGTACGTATGAGTGAAACATGCTGTACACACCAGAAACTGACACAACATTGTAAACTGACTATACCTCAATCTAAAAAAATTAAAGGTTTAAAAAAATAGTAAAAAGAGAACAAAAACTGAGAACACTGGCTGAGGAGAAGCTGTGTGAAAGTACATGGCAACTTCCCATTCCATTCTGGCAACTCTTCTGTAAATGTACAATTATTTCAAAATAAAAAGCTCATTTAAAGAACAGACATGTCTCCAAAGATGATACACAAATGGCAAATAAGCACATGGAACGATGCTCATGTCACCAGTGACTAGGGAAATGCAAACCAAAGCCACAGTGAGGTAGCATCTCACCTCCACCAGGATGGCTAGAATCAAAAAGACAGATAATCATGAGTGTTTTTCAAGAATGGGAAGGAAACGAAACCCTCACACACGGTGTGTGGCAGTGGAAAACGGTGCAGCCACCGTAAAAAAGTCTGGCAGTTCCTTAAATTATTACAGTTTTCACAGGAGCCAACTCCACTCCTACATCTCTCCCCCAAAGAAATGAAAAAAACACATCTACACACAGCCCGTATGCCCATGTTCACAGCAGTAAAACCCACAACAGCCAAAAGGTGGAAACAACCCAAATGCCCATCAAGTGAGGAATGCATAGAGACCACGTGGCATAGCCACACAATGGAAAATTATCCGGCCGTGACCAGGAGAGCAGCCCTGACACCCGCCACCACGTGGACGGGCCCTGAGAGCACGGTGCTCAGGGAGAGAAGCAGACACAGAAGGACACACAGTGTGTGAGTCCATGGATGTGAGGCGTCCAGAACAGGCCAGTCCACAGACACAGGGAGGGGGCTCCTGGCTGTCAGGGGCTGGGGGGGTGATTGCTATTGGGCGTGGGGTTTCCCTTTGAGGTGATGAAATGTTAGCTAGACATAATGGTTGCAAAACTCTGTGAGTATACTACAAAGCATTAAATTTCATACTTTAAATGAATGAACTGTATGGTATGTGAGTTACAGCCCAATAAACCTGTTACAAAAAGTAATAAAACTAACAAAACCTGAAACCAACATGATACTTACCTACAGATCTACATGATACATAGATACATGTATGTGTAAGTACATAGCAAAAAGCCAGCAAGGACAGACATCCAAAAGATGCCAAGGCACCAAAAAGGACTTGGGCTCATGAGACGTATCAGGGGAGACGTGATGCACAGTCAGCTTCTCTTGTAAACAGCATAAATCAAGATAAAATAGAACAAAAGTATAAAAATAAAAAAATGACAGCCACTTCCACTGAGCTCCCAGATGAGGGACCAGAAAAGATGTGATGCAAATGCTTTTCCCGAGAGCATCTCTGACTCACTCAACTTGGGTGGTTCGAGCAGTGGGTGACAACGCTGTGCCTGGCTAAGCCTCACGGTTGCATCAGCTACATCTCTAGGACACGCAATAATTTTACCCTGGGGAAACATCTGCTGGTGATAAGACTGTTGGGGGCTGAATCATGTTCCCGAAAAGAAACGTTCAAGTCCTGACCCCCAGTAGCTGTGAATGTGACCTGATTTGCAAACAGGATGTCTGCAGCGGTAATTAGTTAAGAAGAGGTCATACCAGAGCAGAGCGGGCCCTACATCCACTATGACTGGGGTCCTTCAAAGAGACAGACACACGGGGAGAGGGCCACGGGACCCAGAGGCAGACACTGCAGTGATGCACCTGCAAGCCAGGGGCCACCAAGGGCTGGCGGCCACCAGCAGAGGCTGGAAGAGGCAGGAAGCACCCTCCCCTTTCAGAGGCAGCGGGACCCTGTGACACCTTGGTCTCTCTGCTCTTGGGACTTTAAATTGCAGCTCACGGCAATGAGTCCAGGACCCCCAGACCCTTCCTAGCTCTTCCGGACCAATCCTCTCCCACCCTTAGGTGGCTCACTGGATCCCTCCCTCGTGGTTGATGCCACCGATCCCGTTAGACCCTCATTCACCCTGGCCTGTGGCACCTGGTTCAGGGTCTTCTCTTTCAGTATCAAAACACTAAAACTCATCTTTCCTCCCCAAGAAAGGCCTGATGAGGACTTCCTGGCGGGGAAAAGGGAAATCAATCCCAGGGAGGGCAGAGGTCGAGCGCAGGGGACGCGCAGCGCAGCGCTCAGGT